TGGACAGCAGGCAGCTGGATGTGGGAACTTGCAGCTCAGGGAGGGTCTGGCCTGCAGCACATTCAGAAGTCAACAATAGGGAGCAATAGTGGGGTGCTCACTCATTTTTGATTAAAGGCCTGGGAAGGAGGCCAGAAACTTGGACAGAGATCGGGGAAGAGGACAAAAGGAGAGGTCAAGGGGCCACTGCGGATTAACATGGGCCAGTTAACCAGAGGAGACCGACATGAAGAGGATGCACAGGGCTCCTTCACTTGAGGAACGGGAAGGTCTCTGAGGGCTTCAGAGACAGGTGTTCCCATGGGGTGTGAGGCACAGCCAGATTAGAGCAGGTCAGGCAGTGAGCAGGAAGTTGAGACCCCTACTTTAGACAACTGTGTGGAGAAAGCCTGACTGAAGAGGAGGAGGGAGACTGGCGGTAGCTGGGAGCTAAGTCTTACTGTCCCCAGACAGTGGATCCATAGGTGCAACTTTGAAGATCACAAATTACTTCTACCATTGTGCCCTCTCCTCAGGGCGTGTAACTCCACAGGCTTTAAGTCCCAGGCCACCTGGTGCCCAGCTGACAGTGCTTTGGCTAATGGGGATGCCTGACTCTCACGTAATGAGAATTCTAGAAGAGGGCAGCACCATGCCTGGGGCAGCTTCTCTGCCATGTCACCAGCACTACTGCTCAGCTAGGCCAAGGTGGCTGAATCTACCTTGTGCTCTCAAGATGCCTGTAGCTCCACACATCATGGCCTCAGCTATACAACATGCTTTCCCACTATGCCACTGTCTTTTTGGAGGGAAGAAATCCATGTTTCCCTGAAGCCCCCATCAGACTTTCCCTCATAGCTCATTGGTGAGAAGTAGATCACATCCTACCTACAGGCCAATCACTGCTGAGGAGAAAGGGAGCCCATGCCTGGCTTTTACCAATCACCATCCATCCCTGGGATCCCTGGGGCTGGACTTGGCCACCTGGACAGGTCAGTTAGCAGAAGGAAGGGAGGACAGCGGCTGGAAGATCTATAGCAATCCTGGTGCTTGGTGCTCTGTGTCCTAGGTGACCAGAGAGCCAGCCCTGAGAGAGCAGAATCCTGCCTCCCAGTGGTCAGGATGATCTGGAGCAGGCAATTGTGTCACAGAAGGAGCATCTAGGCCCTGAGCTGTGGTTTCTACTCCTACCCCGAAGCCACAGAATAATAAAACACTGCATCTGGTTTTTTATTTTATAATAATATTCTAATTTCAGCAAACCAGAGCTCCTGTCAGAAGCAGCTGTGTGAATGTGATAAAGCTGCTGCCTCCTGTTTTGCTGCAAACCTGAGGAGCTATTCGAGAAAATACCAGTTGTATCCCAATCAGTTGTGCCGTGGGAAGAACCCACGTTGCTGAGAGGCCACCCAATGGTGAAACTTCTTCTCTAACGCCTCTCCTTCCTTCAAGCAAATTCCCTGGTGATAAAACAAACAATTCTCTTCCATCTGGGGGTTGGGCAGGAGCCCTTCATTCTGACCCAGGAGGTGAAGCCCAATGTGGGGTGGGGGTTGGGGGGGGGACACAAGCTCTTCTGAATAAAGCAGTTCATCCGCAAATATCACATATTGGTCTAATTGAGTGTGCATGTGCATGTGCATGTCGAAAGGCTCACACACAATCACTCTTTGTGTACACAATGAACAAGTTCAAATTCCAGGCTCTGGATTCAGGCTGTCTGGGTCCGGTCCCCCCTGCCCCACAGCCCTAAGCCTTGGTTTTTTCATCCAAATAGAGATAACAATAAGGCCTCCTTGTTTAAGAATGAAGAAGGATGCAAATATAAAGCACTAGGTCTGGCCTGTCTTCTGCTGCCTTTCCTATTAGGAGTGAGACTTAGGCATCCTTCTCCTCTTCCAGGGCCATAGCAGGGCTACTGGCCTATCAGGGATGGAAGAGTTGTCCAAATCAAAATGGAGTCGTATTTGCCAAATTAACTAAAGAAAGCAGAGGGATGTGAAGGAGGGGCTCTAGTGCAAGAGTGTCTGATACAAAGTGCACTCACAGAAGACTCCACCAGAACCAAGACTCTGCACAAAGGACTGCACCAGACACACTAAAATCCTTTGTCAAAGCGAGGCACTGTGACCAAACTCTTAAAATTACCTGATGGAGATTAAAGGATTTTTTGTTTTTGAGAGATTGATAAGAAACAAAATGGAATCCAAAGTTGTAAAGCATGAAAAGAAGGTTCTGACTGAGGATATAGCTCAGCAGTGCTGGACCTGCCTGGGAAGTGCAAGGTCCTGAGTTCAATTCCTCATACCGAGAAGAAGAAAAAAAAGAAAAGAAAGTTCTGCTCCAAGAACTAGACCTAGTAATGCTGTGGTCCATTTCCATGCATTTTCTTTTTTTTTTTAATCAGCAAGATAGAAATATTCTTAAACTGCAATTATAAGGTTAACAAGTAAAGTCCTTTTAACTCTCTGTACATTGTTTTCTGTCTGCCTATTTTGAATCTGCTAATTTTTTCATTTATATTAAGATAAAGACAAATTGAAATCAGAAAATCTCACTTAAAAGTGTTTCTTATGGCATTTCAACCTCTAGAGGAAAATCATTTTCCAAACAGTGATTTTGCAATTTACAACTCCATGGCAACCTAGACACCTAACAGTTATCCTTCTTGGAGATGAAAATTTGGTTTAAGTGGCTTTAATTACTTAGGGTGCTAAAACCATTCTGCCTTTTAAAACCACTTTTCCATCTTAGTCAAAATCTTGAGCAATGAAAAGAGATTTCTGCCTGGCATAAAAATTATTGTATTTGCTACACAGGCCAGGAAAAACAAGGAAAAAATACAAACAAACTTTTAAAAATTATTTCTAAAAATGTTTCCTTCCTGAGTTGATCAGTCAAGCAAACCAGCCAGGCCAACAACAACACAAAAAAACTTAATTATTAAAATCAAAGTTGTTCAGTGATTTTTTTAATTCTAGCCATTCCTTCCTAAAATGTAAATACCTAAGAGTTAACCCCTATACTCATTCAAGACTGAGGAAAAGGAAGAAAGAAGGAGCAAAATATCTCCAGTGCACCATTTTGTTCAAATAAAATGGTTGTTCCTTTTTATTACACATACTCTCTCATTTTAACCCAATCACAGGATATCAAATGATACAATCACCCTAGATTATTGCTTATATATGAAAATGTGTTAATGCTAATAATACATGTTTTACTTGGAAAATTCCAATCCTGACATCAGGTATACCAACCTAACTAAAAGTAATACTCAGAATAATAATTTGGGGAGGGGAGACAGCAGAACATTGCAATATGTGATTACTATAAGGGAAACAGAAATGTTACCCTCGAAGATTAAGGGAGTTGTAATTGCCATCATCTGCATGGGATGTATTGTCAGTCTAGCAGAGGAGAAAGGTAGGGCAACATAATACAGGCCAGCAGTTGAACATTATCTGCTGACCCAAGGGCACTTCCTAGGCATGGGTCAATTGCAGTTCTGCAGGCCCCTGTGTCAGACTGGTACTAGGTCTATGCTCTGCTGCAGTTATTGAAATTCTACTAATTTTAGACAAAGGGCCTGATGCATTCATTTTACACTTTCATGCTACCTAAGTGGTATAGCTGGAGTGAGGAGAGAGCCATATTACTACTCAACGATGATTCTTAACTTTAGAGAGAGGTGCTAAAATGCTCTTGAAATAAAGCCTTAGTTAAATGCTTGCCAAGCACTTTTTTCTGCCTTGATTTACCAGAAGGAAAAGGGAGAGAGTAACTTATTTTCCTCTGCCCCATCTTTCTGCAGTAAAGACTGTACCTTTGAACTGAAGTTCTTCCAAGAACATTTTCAACCTAATTCTTTGTGTGCAACATTCCTGAGAGCATCTCATTTACAGCCTCACATTGAATAACAATTTGGAAGGATGTGACATTCTGGTTTGTTTTGTTTTGTACTTAGAGTCATTTGTTTATTTCTTCTTATATCCAGTATTGCTAACAAGAGATCTGTTATTAACCTGACATTTAACTTTGAATGATTACCAGCTTTCTCTCTGGAATCATTTCCTTCTAGAAGCACAGAATGGCCCTTTTTGTTTAAAATCACTTTTTCCACTTTCACTAGAGCATGCCTAATTGGGTGTTTGTTTTTTTTAAATTGTCTTCTTTGTACTCGGAGGTCTTTCATCTTTGTGTAATTATAGGAATTTTAAGATCTTATTTCTTTTAATATTTTGTCCCCTTCATTTCCCCTCTCTTTCTTAGAATTCTATATGTGGATGTTGGAGCATCTATTTGCCATATCTCTGGAAATTTCTTTTCTTTTTTCTTTATATTCTATTTTCTCTTTCCCCTGGAGGATTTCATAATCTAAGCTTCTCTATATATCATTCTTCAACTAGATGTATCTCATTTCAATTATTACATTCTTCATAACTAACTACTACACTTGGGGATTTTGATGAATCATTTCTTATTCTTGTCTTAGTAACATCTTCTCCTATGTGACATCTGTGTCAGACGTTCTGAGTTGTCAAGTAAAGTTCCTGTTTCCTAGTGGGTGTGGTCTATGTGCCCGAGGTGAATTTGGGATGTAAAGAGATGATGAGCATTAGGGTTTATGATTCCCATTCACTCTAGGTGCTCTGACCAGGGTTTCTGCATTAAACCCATGGAGGTAGCAGCACTGGCAGGAAGCAGCTTTCTAGGGTGGTACCCAGCCATTCCTGAGATGTAGGGAGGAGACAGCAAAGGATGAGAAGAGGAATGAAGGCCTGAGGGGAACTGAGTAATTTGTCTTTGTTTTCTTTTTTGGTACCAGGGATGAACTCAGGACCTTACGCTTGCGAGGCAGGCGGCAGAATCACTGAGCTAAATCCCTGGTCCTGCATTTGTTTTCAACATCTTCTTGTCCAAGGAGTGTTCTTGGACAACCCTCATAGTGTTTCTAGAACTTGAACATCTCAGCTCTTGCTTCTGGGATGAAGGGCCAAAGTGACAACACAACTTAAAAGACTATCTTGTTGGGGCCAGGGATTTAGCTCAATGTTGCCGCCGCCTGCCTCACAAGTGCAAGGTCCCGAGTTCATCCCCGGTACCAAAAGAAGACTATCTTGTTAAGTAAAATAAGCCAGACCGAGAAAGTTAAATATTTCTTGATTTCCTTTGTATGAGAAGTCTTTAAAAAATAAGGAGAAATGACAGAAAAGGAAAAAGATAGATGAGGGAGAGGATTGGTGGAGACTGAGTAAGGAAAAGGGGACTAATTGGGATAATAATCATCAAAAATATATTACATGCATTACCAATATACCCAAATGAATCTCATTATTCTGTATTGCTAATGTGCACTAATAAAATAAAAAAGCTTTCTCCTAACTTATGCATACTTTGTCCAAACTGCCTCTCCTCCGCTCCGGAGCAAAGTGTACTCCTCTTGCCCACAAATACAGCCTGCAGCCAACATTGCTTCCTACTTCCTACAAGGCTCTGCATAAGTTCTTTTGTTATTTCCTCAAATCTGAGCTTCTCTCTCAGATCTGTCATTTTGTCAGATTGGTTTTGGCAAAGGAAGGCGGCAACCTATGTCCATTTGCAATCTTGGCAGAAAAACAGTGAAATGCAATAGCTTGAGTATAATTTGAAAGCACACAGAGTTATGAAAACAGTAAGTATTTTTCAAAGAACCATAAATCTGAATAAACATCTAAAAGATGAATTATAATGGAGTAAAGGGGGAAATAAATAAATAAAATAAATAAATAAATAAAATCTTTGTCTTCCACGATCCAATAAAAATAATGTGCTATGAAGAGAAACCATGGCCAACATAGATTAAGAATTGGTCAATCATAAATGGATTTGGATTCGACTCAGCAACTCCACTTGTAGAAAATTACCTTATAAATGCACACACACACATACACACACATAATCATACATGAGCAGTGTTTCAGGGAGACACTGAGAATTCACACTCAGAGCTGTCTCCCTCTAAAATCTGGTCCTTATACTGTTAGTGTTGAGGGAGGATGACTACTAGGTCAAGCCCCAAGATATGCAGGCCCTTGTTAATGAGGAAACCAGAGGATTGCTGTCTCCCCAGCAGTCACAGAAAAAACACACATAGGCATCACAGTCCAGGGATCACAGACTTCAAAACACAGCCCTGCTTCAACATAGCACCAGTTTCTGGCTGCTAACTCCAACGAAGTTCCTCAACCTGTAAGAGAGGTGCCACTCTGGTCCTCATACCAGCGGTCCCTCTCAAGTTTTATTCCAATAAAACCTGTCCTCTTCTGTGAAGCTCATTTTCCTTTGCTTTTTTCCTAACAAGTGTCTGCTTGAAGTGTGACTGCTTGGAGGTCTCCAGACAGACCACCGACCACCCTGAGTAGGAGCAAAATCAACTTTTTTTGCCAGTGACTTCAAAGGATTCAAATCGCCTCGAAAGCGTCAAACAGAAGTTTACTCTCATTTTTATATCTTTATATTTCTATGGGAGGGGGAGACAGCAACCGTAATCACTGGGGAAACATCTATCAATCTAAACATAACTACATAAGCAAAGGGGCAATGAAGGGAGAGCAGGAGG